AGTGCCAACAGAGCACACAGACGTCCCGCCACGGCTCCGTGGGAGTTTTTGGCGCTCTGCGGTTGCAAGGAGCGATGGGGCCAATCTGACGGGGGGGGTCGCAGCACAACACCTGGCCGCCGTCGTACCTGTAAATGATCTGCCTTTGCCGCCTGCTTCAGCACACCTGGCAGCGCAAAGCTAGTCGGACTGGTTTTGGGCTTTACAGGATCTGAAGTCAAACAAAGGCCCTCGTAGGTTTATCGACACAGGATCAGGGCCCAGAGGAACTCCAGCTGGCAGACAATCGTCTTTCAAGTTCATCTTAAGTGACCTCGGTGCAAGACCTTAACCCCGTCCTAACCCTCCCTTTCAGCAAGAGACCTTAACCCCGTCCTAACCCTCCCTTTCAGAAAGAGACCTTAACCCCGTCCTAACCCTCCCTTTCAGCAAGAGACCTTAACCCCGTCCAAACCCTCCCTTTCAGAAAGAGACATTAACCCCGTCCTAACCCTCCCTCGTAGAAAGAGACATTAACCCCGTCCTAACCCTCCCTCGTAGAAAGAGACCTTAACCCCGTCCTAACCCTCCCTCTTAGAAAGAGACATTAACCCCGTCCAAACCCTCCCTTTCAGAAAGAGACATTAACCCCGTCCTAACCCTCCCTCTTAGAAAGAGACATTAACCCCATCCTAAAAGCCTCCCTCGTAGAAAGACATTAACCCCGTCCTAACCCTCCCTTTCAGAAAGAGACATTAACCCCGTCCTAACCCTCCCTCTTAGAAATAGAACGGTGCAGATTTCCAGGTGTGAAGCATCCACTGGTACTTCTGTAACACAACACAACACAGCTGTGTTGAGGAATGTTTACCATTGTGTTCTGCTGCTGTAAAGTCTGCCAGGTGGGGGCTGTTTTGGGGGTCGGGGGCTTAGTACGGTCGCACAAAGCAAGCCTCCAATGCATCCCGGCGTCCAACCTGTGGGAGCCGTGCCGACCAATTACAAGCATCCACTGTTGTCACATTGTCATCTTGTTACAGGGTTACATAACTATTTCGAGGCTTTGCTCTTGGCGTTTAATCAGTGGAAAAGTTTCCATGAGCTTTACTTTAATCTTGAATTCTTTCATGTTCAGTTGCCGTCACACTGGCACCATCTGCAATGATGAGCTATAATTACACTCCAATGACCAAGTCACAGCTTGTAAACCATCCTTGCCTTTTCTTTTTTAAAATACAGAAGGCGTAAAATACACACTGAGTCCATAGTGATAGTTATTTAAGGGCAGAAGAGCTACACGAAACGTATTACAACTGGTAGTTAGCAACCGCAATGTGAAATGATTGTCATGTGAAAGAAAACGGTCAGATCAAGAGATATGCCCGCTTCTTTCTTTCTTCCTCCCTTTCTTTTGTTGATTAGTGCCACATAAATATAGGGCCACAGTTTAGTTATTTGCAGTATAATTTAACTGCTTTTTCATGCAAACTTTCAAAAGAGCAAACCCTGTTTGCACACAGAAACAACGGTGAGGAGGAAAGTCAGACTCCTGCATTCATCCTCACTGGCAAAACTCAACTCCAACGTCAGTTATGGCAACTGGAGGGGAAAGCGAAATACAGAGCAGGAGACTATTTTTAAAAATTGAAGGACAAATAAGGAAGCGTGCTCCTGAGCAGCAGTGAGTTAAGTGGCTGTCGGGACAAAGTCTGACTCAGCATCCACAGAACGGCTGAACCTGCTGCCAGGACCATTTTCTGCCACTACTTCCCCTCAGTGGTGGATGGTTATTAGAATGTTCATTGATTAGTAGTAGTGGTGTTGCTGTATTGATTGGTTATTAAAGTTCATACAATCCCTTATTACCTTGTGGCCAGCGATAAATAAACATTTCTTTCATCTTTCAATTGAACTTCTGAAAGGTTTAGTCAAGTCATTTAATTTTCAAAGACTAAAAATCACAAACTTTCCTCAAAGGGCTTGAAAATAATGCTACGCTAAATCCTTAAAGTAGAGATGAATTAAGGATGCAACCCTTATCAGTTCACACCCAAGGTCATGTTTAGCTTAGATTTACAACAGTGGTGAAAAAAATCGGTTCACCTTCAATTCTTTAGCAAAATACGTTAATATTTCCATTGCACTCTTTCCTACTGTAAAACAAAATAGGAATGTACACAACTTTTAGTCACAAAAGAGGTGTGTGTGTGCAAAGCAACAGTCCACTGTAGCTCGGTATCGCACTTCATTCTCATCGAATTGATTTAAATCCGTCTTATAACTACACCGCTCAAACGTTCAGTTATAAAATGGAATATGTCACAGTCATACTTGGAGAACTGTTACAAATAAGTTGGCATTGCATATGTGTAAACATGAGGGTATTGTGACGCCTTTCCAGTACACACTGTGCCACACTATCCTGTACCAGTACGTCTATGCCCATGGCTTGAGAACCACCGCTCAAAGGTGCAAGAACATTTTTCTCTCAGGCTTTATTTGGAGGAGGGCTTAAAGAGACAGGCCTTAAAACTCAGCGCTTTAGACGGGTTGAATGCAAGTAGTCAGCACGAGAACACGGCTTTGTTTTTTTATTTCACACTTTGAAAGTTTCATTGTTGAATGCAAAAAACGACAAACACGTTATGAATGAAACCAACACTGCACCCAAAAGTCACTTTGGATGCTTCTGATGATTTTCACTCTTTCTCTCTGTCTGTCTGTCTCTCTACCCCACATCCCCATCCTCACCTCCATGCACCTAACCCGGTGGCTCCAGTACAGGATAGGCCAGCTGTACATGATCAGTAAGCACAGCTGTGAGCAGAGTGGTGGGGGCGAAGGGGTGGAGGTGGTGAAGAACGAGTCAGATACTCACCCCGAGTACGGACGCGGACAGCTGACAGAGAAGCGAATCTACCTCAACAGGTGAAGTGCGCCTCAATTTTTGTCGCTGTGCTAATAAAACGCTTAAAACCAACCAAGTGGCGATTTGCAGTGTGAGGCGTGCGCGCTCGAGCCGTCCGCTCCGCCACTATGACGACTGACGTGTTTTTCGGTCTTTGATCCCTCACTTCTCTGCAGAGCTTTACGCTCCATGCATCCCCGCTGCAGGTATCACCACCGACAAGCAATGAAGGATCATTTCAAACACCGATACCGGCAGAGCAACCCGGCTCACGTCCAAAGTCCAAGTACCCGAGGCCAGAAACAAGTTGAGGCCTACATTGCGTGGTTACACCAGAGCTGTTAATAAGCATATGAGCTCATATCACAGTAAAGCCTTCAAGTGTTTCTGAAATACCGACTCTCCGCTGAGAAAAACACATAAAACACATCATCCCGATAGACGTAAAAACACATTTCTGTTCAGCTTGTTCAGACGGATGCTTGTGACACAAAAAGCTTCAAACCTTAAAGAGAAGATCATAAATATTATTGTCATGAATCACATATGTATCGACACTTAATGTTTTGTACCACAAGTAGGTGTGAGGACATTTTAAATCTTTTTTAAGTAACACTTGTGAAATGTGCTTAATTGCTTCGTAGTGGCAAGTTAGATCAACTCAGTAACACTCTCAGGTCTGTATAAACTGTCAAAATGCTGAACGTTATCTTTTGACTATGTTATCGTTATCTATAGTGTTAGTTGTGACTTACGGTACACTTCAAATGATCAGGAAATAAATTGTATTATTGCTTTGGGATGCAAACATATTTTACTATTAGCACTGTAAGTCATGTATTATGAGCTATTTAACCTTGTGTTAGGAAGTTAAACAGGTGATAATTTAATCTATACATGTTCTGTTGCTATAAAAATAAAAATGCTCAAACATGCATAACCAACATTTTACACGACTATCTTGGAAGAGATTATGTCCTAATTTACCTTTGCATGAAGCCAATGTTTACTGAATAGAAATTGAAAGCATCAATATGTGACTCAATGTAACCCCTGTTAAAAGGTGGGACTACGCTTTACAAACACACGAGGTTGTGGCTCTCAGCTGCAGAGGAGGTGTGTGTTGGAAACCCTTAAATATGTCCGTAATACAATTACAACGGTATGAGAATGTGCTGTAAAGACTTTCAATAAACTCTGAGCGGGTGTTAAATTGCTTTACTTTGCCTCCAGCTACAGTCGTCAAAGTAAACACGGAAGTATGTCATAGATGACATGACTACAATGTTTTTCTAAAAGTATTGTTCAGCTACAGGAATTTTCCATTGTCCATGTCATTTTACTTCAAGAAGGTGTGGTAAATTTCCTTCCTTAACCGAAAGCAAACCTCACTCATTACCCTAATCTAAGCTCAACTCTTTTTCTAATCACCACTATAAACCCAAGGCCTAATCCTTCAATAAACTCTCACAGAAGTAAAGGAATGTTCTCTCTGTGAAGGATTTTCCTAATCTTTCTGTGCTTGTGGTACATTTGGTCCTCATTAGTAAAGATATGCTAGAAAACACACACCACACATCCATAAGTACAGTGAGTGCAAAATGTATTTCACTTCAATCATGTTCTGACATTTGACGTAAAAGCTACAGTGGGAATTCATCACAGGGGGTGTAATTGGGAGTGAGTCATAAAATGAATGCTGTGGTGAGCGCAGCCTACAGGTCATCTGGCTAGAAATGGCCCGGAAACCACTTAGGATTTATCTGTCTTCCTCCATAATCTCGGTCTCCTACTGTTCCCCTCTTTCAGTCTCTGACTCTCTGACTCCTCTCATCCTTTCTGCGTTTAGTAAACTGCCGGCATGGGCCAAAACATTTGTCCCGCGCTTCTTCTATGTGACGGAAAAGTCCTGGAACTTCTACCCGTACACCATCACAGGTGCATTTTTTTAGTGTTTTAGTGTCAAATATTCATCACATACATGCGTGTATTCCCCCGCGATAACATGCATGCATGTGAGAGGGCTTCCATGCTCGTGCATGCATGAGTAACCAATGCTGTTTCTCCCCTTTCCATATTGAACGGCCCTGGTGCTGCAGAGTACTCAGTAAGTATTCTCACACATCATTTAGTGTAAATGAATGAACAAAGCTCATCTCTTTCCAGTATCAGTGAATCTAATCTGCAGCCTGTTTCCACCTTCTCTATCTCTGCTCTCAACCCTCTTTTTCCTCAATTTTTACCTCCTGTCACCCCGTAGGTATCGTACCTCCCCAAGTTCAGCATCCGCATTGAGACGAGATTTGAGAACAACAACGGCGATAACAGTAATGTGAGTATGAGAAGGAGCGAGAGGTGAGAGAGATGGGGTGATTATGGGAGAGCGGGGGGAGGAGAAAGACAAGAAGGAGGGATAGAAATTGCCATTTTCTCTGCAGCACAAAGAAAATGTTCATCACGTTCATGTGCCCATTGCAAGGAACAGAGGCGTTGCACATAATGCAGTGTTGGCAGATCTAACCAGACACGCAGCGTGTGCGTGGCTGCCTTGCTGCATTTTGTCCACGGCAAACCTGCATCGAGTAGCACGAAAATGCAGTAACAACTGCATTGCTATGTGGCCATTTAATTTGCGCTGCATAACTGTTGAGTAACAAGAGCCAACGTGTCAAAGTTTGCAGATCTACAGCTCCGGCCGTGGGAAAAAATGTGGCCATTCTTGTTTTATGTATCGCTACAGGTTTTATACGTTATTCTAAACACAGATGCATAGAAACGTACATGACGCATGCACATGATTGTATAAGCCAAGTACTCTTTACCTTTTACTCAGTACATTTTAGATTACTTTTTAAACTTATTTATCTTCATTCTACCTATATGTCTGCTATCATTATATCTAAATGTGTACTTTTAATTCTGCTATATTACTTCAATACAAATATTTATTATAAACAAAAGAAATTAAGGACTTATAAAATAGGATATTTTGTTGTTGATTAAACTACCCAAGAGTTTATGAAATCTATTTTGATAACCATTAACATCCTCTTTCAACTTTTCCTGATCTCAAATGAGAGGACTTTCATTTTTTCCTTGACATTATCACAATGTTATATTTTTTCAGTTGTTTTGTGCAACTATTGGTTGCAAGCAAAATAATAATAATAATAAAAATAATAATAATCTAATTAAATAATATTCATTTAATGTATAAGTATAAGAAGAACTGTTACAGTTGCTGTTTTTCTATCGAGCAGTTGTACTCTTGATCATTTAATTACATTTTCATGTTCTTACATGCACTTGTAAAGGTGCAAAATACAGTGTTCAGAGAATTAATGTAGCAGAACCTATTTGCCAAATCAATACATGGAAGTAACGTCTAACTGGGCAGAGAAAAAAGAACAAAAGGCTTGGCCAGCAGCGAATGCATGTAGTGCATGTTTGTGCATGTGAGCTCGCCCCATTGGCCGCTGCATTGGGCCCAATGCGTTGCAGGCAGCGTAGCCCCCACCCATCAATTCCCCCTCAGTTAAACATTGGTTGCACGTTTGCCGCAGTCTGCACTGCTGCTTACAGCCTCATTAGCTGCTAACTGCTGAGGCAAAAGGCTCAGAATCCCGCACAACACGTTTAAGTAACATTTTCTGTACCAGACTTTGAATGGTAATGTAGCATTTTTACATTGCGGTATTAGTTGGGCTGCTCTAAGCTTCTGAGGCTTTTTACATTTTTATCTGTGTGTGAATAAAACAAATGAGAGAGCGACGTGGAAACCGTGAGAGCGTAATGGTCTGAGCACATTCTAAAAAGCAAGACTAAACATCCAGCAATGTAACAGCATTCCATGGGAGGGAGCAAGAACTTGACAAAGACCACAGGAGCATACCAGACTTTGTTCTAACAGCGGGTCTTCCTTATCTGTTAGTCTTCAACCGTGCAATGAGGAACTTCAGGAGGGCATTAGAACACATTCAAACCGAGGTCAGATAAAAGCAGCCCTCCTCTTATTACCCATTTTCTCTCAAGGAGAAGTGTATTTTGCTCTCATTACTCTTCCTTTCCCCCGCCCTTTTAATATGTCGTTTATGCGTCCTTGTGATTTGATCTAAGGGGCTCAGTGTGGGATATACTGTGGGGTGTTATGGTGAGTGACCTCAGCTTTCTACCCAGTTACCCCCCCGCACCCCCCTCCACCGAGTGAGTGAGTGACTTTATGTGTGTGCGAGCACGGATGGAGTGTGTGCGTGTGTGTACGAGTGCCATTACACTCTGTGACCTCCCCCATCTGTTTGGATGTAGGTGTTTGGAGACACGCCGACCCAAGCAGAGAATGTGAGCTTCCTGGATATCCTGAGTGACCCCATCCCTGAAAAGCACTACAAAGAGTCAGAAGTACGTACTGTCCTGTCACAGCCACATAGAGGCAAAAACAAAATGACTGTGTAGAAAAAAAACTATATTGATCACATTAAAAGGGGACCTGTCATTCTAATGATCCGCATTATACTTCCAATACTTTTCAATTTGACAGAACTGTTACGTACAAGCTCATCTCGATTAGCCCTCCACCCCCTGTGTGGGGGTTCAGTGCAGGCGCTGTCTTGACCGCAGAACAACAGCCAAGGACTCACTGTGTGTGTTGACTGCACAAAGTTTAGCCACACTTCTTATTCTTGGTTCCCTGCATACCAACGGCGTGTCAGGTGGAAATGGACCTCTCGTGTCAGCGGTAAACTTTAGGGAGAAGCTGGTGCATTATAAGCGCCCATCGTCTGCACTGTATTCGCCAGCCACCTGATCTGTTTATCCATACAAGCAAACCGATGGAAAAGCCTCATCTGTCTGCAAAAAAATGTCATTTTGAAGAATGCAATTCTTTGCTTCTCAAATTATGTAAAATTGGGGACACACGGTTTTATTGTTTTTCATTCCCTTCAGGTGTTAAAGGTCATTGGTACACAAACGCATCCAGACAAGCACAAATCAACTCACTCGCATATACACATTCACACAAACAAAAAGCAACTCAGAGATTGGGTGACATGGTGAAAACATAACATAACAAACACTTTTGCAATGTGAATTATCACATTTTCCTTCTATTGGATCATTTGAGCAAAGCTCTGCTTGCACACATATAACAAACATGCACACACACATACACACCATACATTTGGCCTCAGAGGGCCAACGTTTCTGCAGCCTCAGCAGCTAAGGCATATACTCACTGTTTGCTCTGTGCAGGATCTGAGTCGCTGGCAGTCAAGTAAAACTGGCCGAGGGCCTCTGGAGAACGGCTGGAGAGACAACCACAAGCCCATTATGTGCTCCTATAAGAGGGTGCAATGCAGCTTCGAGGTGTACGGCTTGCAGACCCGGACTGAGGAGTTCGTACACAGAGTGAGAGAGAGTTTGTGTATTCCACATTGTGCCTTTCCCCTGTGCTGATTGAGATAAAGACACAATATGCAATGAATGTTATGAGCCCTTATAGGTGTAATACAAGGTGCCAAAATCTGAAGACGTAGCTAATTGGATTGAATGAAGCACTGTTGGTTTCTGCATGTTGGAGTCTTTGTGTGTCTACAGTAGAAATGGTGATCCAACAGCACACAGTTATTCCAATGTGCCATGTGTTGCATTTTTAACCAAAGAAATCACTAAGACATTCATTTCCAAGCATTAGTAAATTTACTACAGCCAACGGCAAGAAGGCTCTTGGAGGACCTCAGTTTTATGTAATACACTATTAGATTACATTTACTGTAAAACTTGCTCTATTGTTTGATACAACAAAAGAAGTAAGAGGACCTCTGTTCTTCCGGCATAAACAAAGCCAAGCTGGAATCTGGTGTACCAAAAAAAAAAATCCCCTTTGGTCTGACACATGTATCCTCCACACAGAAGCAAAGTAATTCATTTTGAAGGACAAATCAAAAGCAATAAGAACAAAACTAGGAGTGCCCAGTTAACAACGTCATTGACAGGAATGTGGTTTTAGTTTCGAAATGAATGCTAATAAGTGCAAATAAAGCTGAGATAAGTTACAGTATCTATTATAGAAATCATTACCATTTTAAAAATGTATCACCCTTATTCTTGACAATGACGCCGTGGAGCCTTTTTACTTACATTTTCTTTTTCTTGCCATGTGTTTATTTTTGGTATTATTCCAGATCATCCGGGACATTCTTCTGGTTGGCCACAGGCAAGCAGTGTCCTGGATAGACGAATGGCACGGTAGGTCACAATGTCAAAATGTACAGATTACAGACACAAGATAAAACAGAAAAAAGCAGTTTTACTTAATTTGGGCTGTCAATAGATTAAAAAATAAAAATAATAATTAATCGCACATTTACAGATCCATTCATTTGTTTCTCTCCTAAGTATGATAATCACTTTAGAAAGCATGTATTTTGGAAACTGTTGTTTAATTTGTAATGTTATTTGAAACACAACTCTATACACCTTTGATCATCTTGGAGGCAGAATTCCACCGAGTGGAACATTCCGGCTGTGCTCGTGCACTTTGCTCTTAACTCTCCATCATTTAACGGCTGTGTTTGAAGTGCCAACAACCTCCCCACATTTAGCCAGGACGTTTTCCAGACCACTGACTTTTAGGGACACGGAGGTGGTCCTCTCCTATCTGCAGGGTAGATGTTGAGTCGGAAGTAGCCTATCAGCTAGCTTAGCATCTAGCTTAGCCTAGCAGTGCGTAAAGTGGTCCGTGTGCCACTCACCCCCGTTCTGTTTTACACACGGAGGGATCCCTCTGCACAGTTCTCCGCTGTGTGTCGCGCCTCTGTTTGTTTAACTTCCAATGCAAAAAAATCTCTCCATCTTCAACTAAGATAAAATATTTTATCGCATTAATCTCGGCCACATTAATCGCATAGATTAAAGCATTTATGTTGAAAGCCCTACACACCTTCTGAAATGTAAAACACGGTTTGTCCTGAAGTTGTGTGTGTGTGTTTGTGTGCGTGTGTTTGCATGTGCGTGTGTGTGTGTGTGTGTGCGCGTGTGTGTGTGCGTATTGTGCTTTCCTCACAGGTCTGAGTTTGGAGGATGTGAGAGAGTACGAGCAAGTAATGCAAGAGAAGACCAACAGTAAAGTGAAATCCAGTCAGAACACACGTGAGTTCAGCTCCTGACCTGCACTGTACAGAAATACCGCAGAGGAGGGAAGGGAAGACAAAACTGGGGGGGGGGGGGTAGGAGAGAGAATACAGCTGGGTAGAGAGAGGAAGTAGCAGTGTATGAAAAGAGCAGCATAATCAGTTGGAAGCATAATTCTGAAGCACAGTATTGTTCTTTCATTTCATTTTGGCTAATCAGGTAGTGTGTACAGACGGATTTGTGGAGGAATTGGGGGATGGGGGTCATGGGGCGACACATTTTAAGAACACTCGGAATTACAAATAAAACGTAAACAGACTGCGACTGAGGCTGGTCGCATCATTAGTGCCTTAGCTGTGCCCTATGAGTACCCAGATGGCTGGTGCACATCTGTGGGAGAGAAAAAAGGAGAGGGATCAGTCAGGAGCCATTTCACCACGCATGGAGCAGTGAGGAGGGAGAGACGGGAGGGGGTGCGCCCAGAAAAAGGGACGACAGAACGACAGATGTAAGAGGGGGAAAAGAGCGCGTGCCGGCTTATGAAGTGATAATGCCACTGCGTCGGCCCGATAACCAGTGGAACGCAGCCACCTGCTGAACTCTCCACATCACCAGCCCTCTCAACGTAAATAAAAAGCCATTGCAGCACTCAGCTGCAAATGTCAGCCCTGGTGGGGGTCTGTGTCTCGGCCTACGCGTGCGTGTTGTGTGTGCATGGGTGGGTGTGTGGTCACCATGCCCTCTGCTGGTCAGTACGGTGAACCTCAGCTGGATGTGAGCAATATCAAAGGTACAATTTCCAGTGTGGCCTGTAGCATTTTGCTCTTTGTGTGTGTGTGTGTGTGTGTGTGTGTGTGATGATGAGAGACATCAAGCTGCAACAAATCTGCAGTCATTGCTCAACCTGCTGCAGCTCGCCGTACCGCCATTACTCCCTACAGGCCAAACGATGCACTGTGTTTATGTCAGGCACAGCCCAAATAATAGCTTTCATCTCATTCATCCACCCTAATAAAAAGTAAATGGATGTAATTTACACTAGAGCCTAATAAAAAGGGAGTGTGGGCTGAATACCAATGAGTTTGGATTTAACTTATGGGAATGTAAGTGAACAACACAGATGTTGAGTACACTTTAAAAAATTGAGAACTCAGTTTGTCCCTCTGGTTCTCTTCTTCTCAGCATCTATTCAGCTTTTTCTTCCCTGTTTATCTCTTTACCGTTGTTTCTTTCATGTCATGTGTATCTAATTCTCCCTGCATCTCCCAGGCCGTCAATTTCAATTTGCTGCTTTAATGGCATAACGTGAAGAGCATCTTGATGTCAAGGCGAATGGGTTGGAGAATAAAGGATAAAAGAAACAGGAACAATTTTTAAAAAATCCCTCTCTCCCTCTCAGAATCACCGACCCCCCCACGTCCTGCCTTCTCTCGCTCCATGTCAGTGACAGACGAGCGTTCCTTGATGAAGATGGGAGCCATGCCTGACCTCTCCGTGCCCAACAGCCCCGTTCGCCTCAACTCCACCCCGGAATGACACCTTGCACACATTTACTGTACAGCGCGCGCACACAGGAACCAATGCCAAACAGAGGGTTTGGATTAGCTTAGCATACAGGGAACAGTACATTTAAATGTAAATTGATCCGCATACAAGCATTCTTGTTTATTTACCCGCACAAAAATCTAAGCATGAAAATGACAATGACAGCGTCAAGGGGCGATGCACTGGACACCGTTGTATCAGATCAACATAGAACACCAAACTGTTGTGATTTTTGTGAAGATTAATGTGCAGATATAACATGCTAATAAATTATCTTAAATGCAGGGGCAGACAGATAATAAAACCATTAGACGTTAGAGAAGTTTAGCTGTTTTCTACCGTAAGTCTTAGTGCTAAGCTAAGCTAACTGGCTCCATAGTTACAGCATACATAGGAGAGTAGTTCAGATCTTCATATCGGAGCAAAATAATGCATTCCCCAAAATGTCCGGCAAGATTACCGTAGCAATATTACGCAGTCACGCAGAAGAACACAAATGTTATGTGCCTACTCAAGAACAACCTTTACTGTTGTCTTGCACAACCTGAAAGCTAGATGCATTTCGGCGCTTCTTTTTTTCTCAGTTCATCAGCGATAGTTGAGCTCAGCGACCACCAGCAGCGCTCACCGATTGTTTCCTAACCCCCTCCCAGCAGCCTGCAGACGGATGCATAAAGGGTTTAATAGAGTGGATCTAATGAGAGCGGAGGAGTGCGCTATAGATTTGCTCCCCTTCCACCTCAACCAATAGGTCGGACCAGGTGCATTGACAGAGAGCAGTAAGGGCGTTGGTTCCTGGATCACTCAGCTGAGCACTTATATAGGTAAAGCCGGGGCTAAACTTCAATTATGAGTGAATAATATTACATTTTATAAGACTATCATCTTAATTATTTTATGTATATTTGGAGAATGGGTTTTCCTCACAAGGGATCAACAATGACAAATATGAAATGTGTTTGTTTTCCTTACACTAGAATTATGTGGAAGAAATGTGTGGAAATTATACTCTAAAGTCTTGTCATGGATTTTCATCCATAAATAAAATTTATATCAAATGAGAGGGTACACTGGTGTCTCCTGATATCTGCCCAGATAGGCTAAGAAATGGACTCGCTGCACACATTATCAGCCATGTTTGATCAGTATTGACCTGTGAAGATAGACCAGCTGCTCTCACATCATAGCACTCACATATAATCTACTCACCAATTTCACACTTGTGCGCCGTGTGGAACCGGCTCCAGCAGCGCGAAAGGGGCCAGCCACTTGGTCCGGTCTGGTTCGGGCGTTTTTTCCCTCTTCTGCAACTCAACGGAGAGGAGAATGATGAATGTTTAACCAACGCGTGGTTGCGGGTTGGGCGTGGGTGCACGTCCATCATCGCTGTCTCGCTCCATTGTTCCAGAGTTGGAGACAAAAGCCCGGCCTTGTCACGCAGTTTGTGTGACTGACTGACGTGGAAGCTTTCTTCAAATGGGGCACTGAACAGCTCGCATTATGGGGCTCATTACGGCTTATTTTATCCACACAAATCATCAGCCAGCATTGAGATTTGTTATTAACTTCCCGATAAAAGGCCTCGCAAAAGTGCATTCACACACACACTCAACCACATAAATAAATGCAGCAGAACTCTTTCTCTCAATGCGTCTATTTTACAGTAGCAGCAGGAGGCTGATGTGAAAGAGCGAGTGCTCCACACAGCCAGCAGTGTTCACAAGTGCTGCAGTGGGAGCGCAAACTGCTGGCTGCACTGCATTAACATTACTACTTTCTCTTCTACTTCTTTGTCTCTCCCATTAATTTTTCCTTCTCATTATCTTCACTGCTCTGCCTTTCCTTTCTCTCAATCCTCCTCTTTTGTTCTCCCTCTCTCTCATTCTTGAAATTTCTCCCGTTCCTCTTTATCTGTGTGCCCTCTTCTCCGTTCCTCAAGAGGGCCTCCGAAGAAGATCTAGTGTTCATTATATGGAAATGTTCCCCATGGTACATAATCATAGATACTGACCCCGTAGTGCCGAATCACCCTGCTATTCCCAGCTCCCCCCTGAGACCCCCCAAATAGCACAAATAAGACGTTCTGCAGGGAGCCGCAACCAGCCGCCTGCAACGCCGTCACCGGCCCTTACGGCCACTTCCACGCAAGAGCTTCAGTTGGACACCTACCAGTTCAGAAAAACAGGAATAAAGGTTCTAAGTAATACAACGAAAGGAAGGTAAGTGAATAAAACTGGAAAAAGAGAAGGAGGAAAAGCAAAACGTGTGATAAATAATGATATTTTGGAGAAAAGGACAAGTTTGCCTGTTAAAACATGTCCATCTATCTAAATATTATTTTAGATTGTTATTGCAGTTGAGCCAGTTTATTCTGGGAAAGAAATAATAAAGAGTAGCTGTGGGAACGTCTGTTTACATCATTCCTTCTCCGGCTTCCTGGCATTCGTCCAAAACACTGATGTACGAGCTCCTTCCCCAGATCGATATGCGATCTCCATTCACTGGAAAGGCACTAATGCAACGGCCTCATTTGCCGGACGACGTGCGCATGCCAGTGCGTGTTTGTGTCTTTAGAACTGGTCCCCACTTCCGGGCTTTTACTCATCGTTAAAGGAGAGCGGCCATTAAGCCACATAGTTTAGCATGCCACTGACGTAATCGCTTACTCCACACGCCAACATTGATTTAATAAAGGTTTATTAACTGTTTGTGTGGATTTGGCCTTGCATACCTGTCCACCAGGGGACCTTGGTGTTGGTGAAGCGAATAGTTAAGAGTTCTACTGTTGGTTAGGATTTAAATCATGCAATGTGGTGTTGAGGGATTTTAAGGACTTACAAACATCCTCTTTTCGAGATCCTCCGCAGTGGGAATGGTGTTCAACCGCAGGTACCACCAGCCGATGTAACCAGTCTCAACATGACAGTTGACAACATATGATGAGTTGTCAAGCGTCCCGTATCAAGGACCACGTCTAAGCATCTAGTTCTAAGCTCAAAAGCTTCATAACGCTGACATTCATATTCCAAATAAACATTCAAATGCAGCACAGCTTTTGTTTTTGTTGCAGGTTTAGCAGCTAGAGGATATTACACATTATCATTGCCTAATTTAAATAAGAGAAAATAGAACAGGAATGTCGCTTGCGCAGCTTGTTACGCTTAATTGCGCTGCCAGGTCTAGAGGCTGACATGAAACGTTCAATAATGTGAATGTGCTTTCACATTCGTATGTTACAGTTGACATGAAGATATAAAGCGGTAAACACGCTGCTTGTTCATTTGATTTTCTCTTTGTGTTGACAATTAAATCTTGTTCAGTGATATCGTCACAGGGGAAGTCTATGTCCTTGGTTAATGTACTTTGACGTTACACTTCAACAATGGCGGCCAACCGGTGCCCTTGTAGACACATCCCTCACAGAATAAATGTTAAGCGCATTGAGGGCTGAGAGCGAGACAGCGTTGTACGAACATCTACCTCCCGTTGTGTGCTTAGTTATCTGTGTCTGATATCGGACGCGTGTGTGTCCGTGTATGAATTCCCACGAGGGTTAATGTTGCGTAAGGCTGCATGATGAGGCCAAGATGCCTGTGTCTCCTTATCACAGTGTGAGCAATACAGTTTTTAGCCCACTCAACCACATAAATGACTTCAAATCCTCTGCGTATTAAGCCTCACCACTGGGAAACCAATTTGTAACCTCTTCCCAGCAATACGTTAACTGGACTTTATCTGGGGACAGGCAGAGTGTAAAATTCATAAAGTATCTGAGAGAACTAATTGAACCAATTAAGTGAGGGAATATGGATTACTGTGGCACTGTGAACACACACATCCCCTCTGGAATAGAGTCAGAGACCACTGCTTTCACGCGATAATGATTGCATTGCAATGGATGGCGGTGCAGGGTCTCAGCGTGCCGCACAACAACGCTCCCGGTGGGCCGGCTTTGCGTTTACCCTGATGTGTTTTAATTTCCTCAGCAGCTGATCCCGGGGCTGCTATTCGGGGGGAGTAATTAATTGCATGCCGGTAAAGGAAAAGTCAAGGATAAGTGTGGAAACTGTTCCTTGTCTTGTACGCGCTCTCAAAATCGCACTCAAAACACAAAAGCCAGGCTTATTTTTCATCCATTTTCCTGGAGGAAGCCAAAAGAAACAAAGTACAAACAAAGAAGATAGCCAGAAACATGCACAAAAATAAGAGCCTTGGGTACATGAAATATCCTAATCAGCAAGCCAAACCTCCCGATTTTAAATGCCCCACCGTGTCTATTAATTACGTAAGAGCCATCGCATCCAGCATGGACGCATGTTTGCTAATAGGAGAGGATGGATTAGCATGATTAGTGGAATATATTAAAATACAATGGTTTTTTATTGATTTACAAAAGGTAGCTTTATGTTCCCCCAAGGATGTGCACACAAACAACAGCATTCATTTTGTACAAACCACAATGAACGACATAAAGGCTGAAAGGAAAAAAGGGTGCTTTATTTTAAAAAAAAAGCTCCATTAGAAGTTTGCTATCGGACACAACATCACAGCTGTAAGCACAAAGCTGTACAGCTGGATTTAAAGAATACATTTTTTTATTTTCACAACATTCTTCATTTGAATGTGGTGGAATCTGTTCATAAATCATTAGATCTTTAAAATATGACTAGCGATCCCTAAGGCACCAGCCTGCAGAGGTCCCGGTCCATTTCAGAGGCTCGACTGTACATCAACTTCAGGGCTAATTTAGCAACCTCTATCCGCTGACGACGTCAGTTCGCCGTCCGTTTGCTGCTCTTACACCAACATGGCCAACGCGATCAAAGAAAGTGTGAAGGTTACAAAAATGCAGCTCGTTTCATTGGTAGCCAGTTTCAACTCACATGTGTCTTGTGCGATCCTTCCTGGGGTGCATCTACATACTCTACCAACCACGCGAGCGAATAGGTAGAGTGATGGCAAAATATTCAAATTAGTCATTTCTGGGATGAGAACCAATAAATGAATTGTTTTTAGCAGCTCAGCCAGTGGCTACAGCTGGATTTCCTGCGTTGCGTGTAAAGGTATAACCTTCCAGGTTTGGTTTTGTAGAAACTGTACTACCATGAGGTTTCTCCAGACATTTCTTGAGCGCAGCGTTTTTTGTTCTTCTTGCTTACATTGACCGATGAGCACGCTTGTTTCACTACAGGCTCATTTCCTCAACCTGTTCCAGTGAAAACTATTCTGGCTCAGTGAACGTCTGCTGTCAGTCAGCCTGGTGGAGGAAGGTTAGCGAGCCGCCGCCCACTCAGCTGCTCCCTGGAGCCGCCGCTGACGGACAGGCGGAGGTGTTTGGACGGAAGATGGAGTGAGTTTGGTTCGGATGACACAACGCTTACACGTCACTCACCGATGTCTCCTTTACGTCTCGCTCTCCGCGGGGATTCCCGGTTGGACGGCGAGGCCATCACCGAAATGCACACTAAATGTTTCCCACGTGTGACTGATGTTTTGTTTTATTTGTTCAGTGAGGAGTAGCAGCCTGATCCTGGCATGTAAACAAACCCAATAAGGATAAATTAATTCACCGTATTCGATCGTGTGAACACAATCCACCGATGGCAATTGTTTTGGCTGATTTTCACATTTTTGAACTGCAGATTTTTGCAGGTTCTGATTTCAATTATTTCCATAATCGACCAACGTTTTCGACCAACAAACTTTCTTCCAAAACTTTACAGTCAAGGTTACAGGAATGTGGTTGCGTCTCTGCACAAAGCCAGTGAAAGTTTGTTTAATACACTTATTTTATCAATAGTAACAACAACTTAAACTGTAAGCCTCCTACTGTGTGTTACCCAGTGACCTCACTAAAGACTTTTCTCCCTCAGAGACTAGAACTGTCAGTTTAAATTGACAGGAGGCTCCTGACAGACTGTTAGGTGGGACACGTGTCTTCAGTGACGGCTCAGGATGACAGGGAGCAGCACACTGGAGCAGAGGGATCCATTCACAAACCGGGGCTTAATACTACTTTTTTTTTGTTGGTGACCTTTCTGTTCACTTTGGCCTTTTTGGGCC